TTGTTATCGTCTCAGGTTTGTAGCCCGTTCTGAGAACTACCGGAATCACTATTTGGATATCGATAATGCATGGTCTTTCACCGAGAAAAAAAACAAAAGGTGTCGTAAACTTTTGTCCGCCACTTTATATATAAGTCCTTTTCCAGTATACAGGGAAAAAACAGAAAAGAAATGGCATGCGTCTTATCTCAAAATGTTTGCTTTCTTGTCCTTTTTCTAATTTCAACAAGCCGCGTATTTTTTCGTTGTAATTTCGACACTTCAAAATGAATAGAGTCGTTGGCCGTACTGAAAACATGAAATATTTCCAGTTGACTCTTTTCTAATTTTTGAAGCTATTTCTAAATGTGGAAAAAAATTTTCAGTTTCTCGAGTAGCGGAGAGTCAGGGCTATCGGTCTGTGTAAAAATATTTAAGATTCGTTAGCTCATTTCTTATTAATTAATACAAGAATGAAGGCTACTATGAATTTCTTTTATTTTCTGTATGTTCCAAATGAGAACACGACGTGCGTTTTCTGTTCACGTCCATACAAATGCATGGAGATTTACAATCTAGTTGGAGAAGAAAGTTTTTTTGCTTACAAAGTTCAATGAAATGTTGAAAATTTTTTAGAAATATTCAGAAGAGTCTGCCGAATCGAACCATATAACTTTTCGCGGAACGAGAACACTTTTTCGTGCACTTATTGTGGGATTATTACGAATATATTCGTGTTCTAATTTTTTCCGGTTCCAAATAAAAACATGACGTACATTTTCTGTTCCTATTTAGAACAGGCTCATACAAATACATGGACTTTTTAAGTAAAGTCAGAAAAAAGATGTGGACGCCACTCGAAGTACTAAATCAAGTCAAGGCAAATGTTTGTGACAAAATATGTACTAGTCACAACTAGTACATAGACCATAGTCACACACTATATATTTAAGGAGAAATGGTTTATTTTCGAACATCCCCCATGTAGTGACCAACCTTCCGCGGTCATTTTTTCCCATTTTGGCCCATAAATAAAAGAGGATGCCACTAGTCTTTATTATAGAAAAATAGCTGTTGACAAGTTCTACAGTATCTGTTGACAAGTTCTACAGTATCTGTTGATAGGAAACTTAACGAAGCTTGGCAGCAGATTTTATGAGTTAAATACTAGATTTTTCCATAGGTCGTGACTATACCGAGGGAACTCTTGAGCACTTTTCTCTACGAAACTAAAGAGAATGTCTAATCATTCATGAATCATCTCCTGAAATCAACGTCTCTGGAAAACCTAAAATCTCAGAAAACCAAGTCCTGGAGTTCAATGTAGAAATTTTCTGTAAATCAAATCGTTCCGCAAATCCTTCGTTCTACCAGTTATGGATTCAGCACAACTTACTATCACAATCTTGAAATTAAAGATATCTTGCTGTGTTTATAATTACTTGATACATGCCACATAAAGTCCTCAATAGCTTGTCCAAGCGCAACGCTGTTACGATTTTTCCACACTGACTTTTGATTTCTCAGCAGCAGTGAGAGATAGAAGGGCCGTTTTAACGTCAGTTTATGTGTCGACCTTATGTCAATGTATGATGAACAGAATGAGCGAAATCGATTTCGAAATGCAGTTTCTGTAGTCAAAAATTGGAGCGTAACACTGTTACGAAAAAGCCCCCACAAGCTCAGACTTGTGTAATTTGAAAAATTTCCAAAATGCAAAGCATCGGAAACCACATTATATAGCTAAACCAATAGACTATTCATTGCTAAAAATAGTTTTTTGAGTTATGTTCTGGAAGCTCAAAAAACGCATTTTACTAACGTAAACTAAAAGCGCTAACGTCACATTGTCTTTCAAACTCGGTCTAGATTAGATAAAGACAGAACAGAAGAGAAAGCTTAGTGATAAATCTTTTGATTATTAGTTTGCCTATTACTTTATACGCATTATATAATCACATTTCTATAGGTAGGTTAATCAGGCATTCTCAAATAATCGTATGCATAGATCAAAATCCAAATATATTTGCTCTAGTCAAGGTTTATCTATTGTTTTATGAATGAAAACATTTGTTTACTTTTAGAGAGAATCTGAATAGCATCTTTTTGCGATACATGACAGATTTATTTAATTGCTTGTGTCTGTGATTTTATTATTCTTCATCATTATCAAACGCAATTTTATGCTCGAATAATAAACTGAGTTCAGGGGTAATGTATTTGCTGTACTCTTAATTTTTCTAAATTCTATAATTCTACAAATTTACTTCACGTTTATGGATCGTAGTGTAGAGAGTATAATGCGCATGGATTTCTATTTAGTTTTGAGCTTGCAAAGAGAAATACTAAATACTGACTTATACCTGGAATGGTAAAAGAACTTTCTCTATATGAGATGAGATTTACTTTCTTTCCAGGCAATTATCTTTTAACGCCAACATCAGAATATTACAAAATCTATCGATTCGTGCAGTGGTTGGTGAAAGTACATATATATTCCCGGTGACATTCAGATAAAAATGTCCGTCAAAAAAGACATTTTTTCCATACTGATTGTCGATTTTCTCAGCAGTTGTGAGCGATAGAAGGGCCATTCTAACGTCAGTTTGTGTGTCGACCTTATGCCAATATATGATGAACACATTTTTCTAACGCTCTGAAAAAAATCGGACTTCGGCTATCAAAACTATTTAGACTAAGTGCATAAAGACAAAGGTTTTTATTCACCTCTCATGTCGAAATTTCGAAAGATATTTAATGCAAAAAATTGAAAAAATTCGCGTCCGTTGTTTTGCAAAAACCTGCAGTAAAGTTTCCGTGTCTCACGTACCATCACACACATTTTCTTCTGCGCTTTTTTGCAAGAACAAAAAATTTTGTGATAAAATTCAAGAAAAGATCATCGGTTTTCATGCATAAAATATTACTCGCGTAACTACCTTAAAGTTTTATGCAGTGTTCTCAAAACAGTATCACGGCAGCCATTTGTCAGCCATTTTCTTTTCGTTTTTTAGACGCAACACGTCTTATTTTCCAAGCAGAAATCAATGCATCAAGGAATGGCCCAGTTTTGAGCTTTAAAAAATATTAACACACGGACGTTTTTCTTATCAAAAATCTCTGATAGTATCAATCCGTTTGACTTTTTGAAATCTCCAGGAATACCGATAAAGTCATTTTGTGAACGTATTTTTCATGGTGTGCAATCTAATGAATAGGACGAAGGCGTTCGGGCGAGAAATAAAGTTAGAAATATCTTTTAAGATTTTGCAAAACTCTTCAAAAAAATGTTTCTTTTGCGAACTTTGAAAAATCAAGAAAACTTATAAAATTTGAAATGTGTCACAAATTCGAAACAAATAAGGTATTTTGTAGACAATTTAATTCTCTATCCGATGACGTAGTTCTTAAAATTTTCAGATAACTGTCTAGGTAAGGAAGTTAAAACTAAAATTTTTTATTATTTAAAATTCAAATCCTTTTACTAAAATTGAAGTTTTCATGTTTTAAAAATATCAGATTCGTAATCAGCGTAAAAAACTGCACCTATTCAGATATTTAAATCAATTCTTCGATGAAAACATTTTTCAAAAACTTAATGATAGGTTAATCAGTCATTCTCAAATAATCGTATGCATAGATCAAAATCCAAATGTATTTGCTCTAGTCAAGGTTTATCTATTGTTTTGTATATGAAAACATTTGTTTACTTTTAGAGAGAATCTGAACAGCATTTTTTTGCTGTTGGCTTTATGATACAAGACAGATTTAGTTAATTGCTTGTAGAGTAAAACTATCTAACGATAAAGTCATTTCTCGTAAGTTTTATACAGATATTCTCAAAATCTGCAGGTTTTCTCTAACTGAAGGTGTGGTGTTAATAATTAAGTATGTTTAACCGTTGGTTATTGATGGTTCTTTTTGTCTGGTATGCAAGTGATATTATTACAAATTTCAAGTATGAACTAATTATTCTCTACGCAAGATCTTATGTAATATTCTTCCTATCCTAGTTCAATTAATGTTATGGCTGTCAAAGTAAATAACAAATCATCATTGACGAATAACAAGAACAATAGCCTGTCCGATCCTCATTGTATTTATCATAAGCGCACGAATTGTTCAACTACTTCAGCTAATACTAAACCGAAATGTAAAATGGTAATGTGTAATTCATTCCCATAAAATCAGTCCATTTTCAGTCTGGATGTTTCCACGCAGCTCTGTCTACATTTCACACAGTTGAAAGCTGGTAAGATTCGACTATGCACATCGCCGAGTGCTACCAAAGGTAAGTAAATATCCTACTTTCTGCCTACAAAAATCTTGCTCGTTATCAGGCCACAGGCAGTGAATTTGAGCGCTTCAAAGTGAGCTTGGATGGCAAATTCTCAACATTACTGGGAATTTTTAACTATTCTCATCTTTTCAGCGAAAAGTGCTGATAAAGTTGTATATTTCCATATGCATATATTCTTCTCTCATATTTCGAGCCGTGTCCTCACCCACTTTGGAAATAGTCACTCGCTCAGTGAAATGTACAGTTTCGATAAATCCAATCAAGTAAAAGCGGTTTCCACGTCTTTTCGAGCGACACATGAAACAGCGCCCTCTTCTTGTATCAGAAGAGAATGGAAAAAACACTCTTAATGATGATTTTTGTAGCATAAAGAGTGCTCTTTCCAATGATGTATTGTACGTTAAATTTGCTCCTGGTTTTACCACTAAAATATTGCTTTTTATTGAAAAGGGTTGAATTATTTGATTGTTCTCACTATTTGGCTGTTTTGGAGCGGTAAAAATATTTACTGAATTATTTTTTTTGTTAAGTTCTATGGTCTGACATATTTCGAACAAATAACGCCAAGAGCATTAAGTTCATGCATGATTTCTGGAGATAGTGACTGATAGTTCTTGGAAAAGAGTTGTTTTCACAATAATTATATTTTTCAAATCTTTTGATTAAAGAGTCAAGGATGGATCCAAAAGATTTTAACAGATCTCATATCGACAGTGCTTTTGATGCGCGACATTTTGGTGTATTTTTTTGTTAAAATCTGGTCCATTTAACCCAAAATAATTGAGAAATACACACTTTTCAAGTTGCAAAACCGTTGCAAGACCTCTTTTAGAGGTATGGTTTTTTTTAGTTTTTCCTTCTTCTCAGATTCGTTCGGGAAAAATGGCTGGTCCCAAATTTGTAGTTCAGACATTGCTCTCTTTAATTTAAAAGTTGACTTTCTACGATATTCCTGAGCGGAGAACTGTGGCTGGAGATTTCGGCAATCACTTTTGCACTGCAGTTTAGTTATACGAAAGCTCCTGAGTTTTTTCTTTATGTAAATTATTTTACTCTTAAGGGTTTTTCTATCTCAACGAAAGCTCGTATTCCAAGTACACTCGTAGAATGGTATACACACTAAACTAAGACTAACTTTTCATGTTTAACACGAACTTGCTATTAGTTTTCGTGTAATAATTGAGGCTTACAACTTGTGATCCGAGCAAGAGCACGACTTTTATCGGCGGAAAGAGAGCGTTGAAGTACTTTTGGTAGTACACAGCGTTGCTCCTTAGTCAAATCTTTCCGACTTCCAGTCTGTAAACTGCCGAACAGTGTTTTAATTTTTGCCTTATCAGAGATGTTGAAAAGAAAATCAAAGTGTTTCAGTGGTGTCCCTCAAACAAAACTTGAAAAAGTTCAAGTTTTTAAGCGTTCACCCTTCTGATTCATCCTGACTGGTTAGAAAACCGAAAATTACAAAGTTGACTAACTTGTGTCTGACACTTTATAGATGAAAACTAAGTCCGTCAAAAATCCATTTAATAAATGTATTGATCATTTTAATAAAACAAATATCGTACCCCTGTTGTATCAGCACTGTATGAACAAGACATGCCGGTTTGTGATACTATTACTTTTTTATCTATCAGAAAATGCTTATATTGTTTCTTCAGCTGCCAACTACAACATGCCAAAATAGGATCATGTCTTGCGTTATATGAAACGGCAGCAAAATGTGAGAAAGCTAAAATTAAAGTGTTAAATTGGATTAAGTTTTTCAATTGTCGTAAGTACACAGTAGAAGGGCGTGAGGATTACAATCTACACACCGCCCACATGGAATAAGTCCAGTCTGAAACGCTGAAAATAGATCGTTCTTCTATCTTACACAACTGTAGACACTTTTTACTATAAACTGACCTTTTTAATTACTTTTTAACAGAAAAGCATTTTCCTACATCGAAGATCTCAACCAGGGCTCCAATAACAGTCACCAAGAAAGGTAAGTATATTTAGTACTGTTTAGATATGCACATGTACACTGTGTTGGAAAATTTATAGACCAGAAAGCCAAAATTTTTTGTTTCTGGTATATCGATGAAACTAAATGAGATAGAAGGCTGCGCCTTTCACCATATTGTTACTCATGGAGTCTAGTTTATATGTGAACATTTTCATCTTGAAATTCCAAGTTGCTAATTTTTAATGAAACCCATTACATTCTGGATTTTTTTCACCATTGGAAAGAGCAGCTCGTGGGACGTTTATCCATGTAGAAAGTCACTTTTTCCTCAATTTATGCTGAGATGAATTTAAAATTGGTCTGAATATGAATTACTCCTGTAATATATATTTACATATATGTGAAGAAATTGTTTTACGTTTTCTAACTGACACTTTTGTGCTCCTGTTTTTTGTTTTTTATTAGGTAAACGTGTTAGTCGTATTGTGAAAATGAACTTCAGTTTTGATGACCAAAAACTATGCCAATTGGTTACCTTGATAAATCATCATTAAAGACTATTCGATCTATGGTGAGTGAACTAGTCATTTCGAACTTCATGACGTTGGCCTTTCTGCTTGCAGATTTTCCCTAAACTGAAAAAAGGTGTTGTTGATGTGCAAATTAAAAGTAGATATGTTTCACGACAGAAGACTGTTAAAGCTGGTGGGCGAAAAGAACGAGAAACGTACGTATAGCGTAGTAGTACCTTCCAGTTATCAGGATGTCTTATTCGACAAATTATGTTTATATGTACTCTGACTATACATTGCTGGTTGTATTAGGTTTAATTATCTTAGTATCAAGACTGCTGCAAGTAAAAGAAATATTTACACATTTTAGTAACATGGATGTTCGAATTTCTTGTCTCTTTTTCATAGAATTTATTTTTTTCGATATCGGGCGCTGAATTAACAAAGCGTGTGCATACAAAAGCGATTCAATGTATGTTGAAACAAGAGGTCGGTTGGTTTGATAGACAAGAAAACCATAGTGGAGCACTTTGTGTACGCTTATTGACGGATGCATTAGCTATCCAAAATGTAAGCTTTTATAAACAACTATCCAAAAACAAATAAGTAAAAGTATTGCATGTCTTTAGATAACAGGATTTCGCATCGGTTTGCTAATAGAATGTTCTTCGACGCTTCTTATTGGTTTTATACTGTGCTTGATAGTTAGCTGGCAATTAACATTAATTATTATGGGAAGTATTCTAATATGCTTTACAATGGTTTACCTACAGGTATATTTCGAAATAGTGTTGTCAAAGAAAACAAAAGAAATATTAGAACAAGCTTCAGTAGTAAGTAGAGTCACTTTAATTGTAGGTTATTGAACATGCTGAGTCCGAATTTGACCATGGAGGTTCTCCTTAGTCCTTCGAAGATCCGGCCTTCTGGAAAACCGGTTTTTCAGAAACTCTGAAAGATAACCAAAACCTTTCTTAACAAGGCATAATTGTAGCGCGCACATTTCTGATTGAAATGAAACATCTTCCAGCTCTACACGACCCTTCTTTGTAAAGTTATGGAATTTACAAGAGAAGCTCTAAATTAATTTTTTGCTTTTTACTTCTCTAGGGCTTGTCCACGTAAAAGTCCACTTTACGCAAGTCCGTAACGTTTTGTGAAAGTCATAGCTCTTCTGCTGAGCAACGTACAGAGTTGGGAAACATCTTATTTTGTAGCTAAAAGGTTTTTCTTTCAAATGATAATTAAACACAGTCTAGCAATTGATTCATTTAAGTAACATAATGTTTTTGGTATACGTCACTTTTCTATAAAATGGCTTTATGGTCACGAATTATAAGTAGTTGTTTAGGGTAAAGCTAGACTTTGCTTTATTACTATTTGGAAGAAAAATCTTTCAGCTACAAAATAAGACGTTCCCCAATTCTGTACGTTGCTCGGCTGAAGAACTGTAACTTTCATAAAACGTTACGGGCTTACGTTTTTGGCTGGTACACGTGGACAGACCGTTGAGCTTTTGAGCTGACAATGAACATTTAGGGCTTGGCTTGTAAATTCTGTAACTTTGCAAAGAAGAGTCGTGTAGAGCTGGAAGATGTTTCATTTCAATCAGAAATGTGCGCGCTACAATTGTGTCTTGTTAAGAAAAGTTTTGGTTACCTTTTAGAGTTTCTGAAAAACCGGTTTTCCACAAGGCCGGATCTTCGAAGGACTATGGGGAACCCCTATGGTCATATTCGAAATCAGCATGGTCGATAACCTATAACCCACTACATTCCGATCAAAAAGCGATTTATCACCTCGGGAGGTTCCCTCGTAAAATTCGTCTTTTAAGGAAACAAAACCGCATGATGATACTAAATCGACTATAGACTACAATCCTAATTAGCATAGTTATTTTTCCTTTGGCAATATTAAAATTTTTATCTCTGTACCCCCCTACAGGCTTTGTACCCCATTTAGGATGATAGAAAAAGAAAGTGCATAGATAAATTTTGGCGCTGTGCAATTACCAATTAACCCAGAAGTCTACCCTGACAATTTTAACTTTCTTAAACTTCTGAAACAAAATTTCATTATTTCTAATGATGTACTTGAGTATTTCCATATGACCGACCATGAAAGAAACCTCTCATCATATATTTCTCAAAAGAAAGTATTCAACAATTTCTCCAATGAAAATAAAAGCTTCGATGTTCTTTTTTCATTTACATCCACACAGACCAACAACGAAAAAACGACGACTGGTTTATGAATTTATCGCACACATTTGCATGGCCTAGCAAATTTTACTTTTCTTCTTTTTAATTATACAAATACTTATTTATGATAAGCAAGATAAATAGAGATTGAGTTGCACATGAAACAATAAAACGACTGATATTTGCGCACACATATCTTATTCTTACCATTTTAAATCGACAACTGCAAACGTCGTTGACATTAAAACAGAAGAATCACATTCCTATTATCATATTCCTGAATAGTCAGTGAGTGATTCACTTAAATAACTTCGTTTTTCGAATATCCAAAAATTCTCATCATATGCTTTCTCCATAAACACGAAAAAATGTTTATTGAATTACGATAAATCTAAAAAGATATGACTGTCCTTTGAGATTTATTGAGATAAAAAGGGTTACCGGAACTTCATCAATACGATTTTTGCCAATTGGCGAAATACCAGGGGGTCTATTGACGAAGATCCGGAATCCCGATAAAAACATTAATAATGCTTACTTATAGCAAACTTGACCTTTTCATAGGTTCATTTTTTTTAAATCATCGATTTAAATTTATTGATACTAAAATCTTGACTAGATTAGATTGTAGAAAAAAAAAATGTTATATATTGTTAAAGCTGAGTTTCAACGTAAAAAAAGATCACAAATCAAATTCTTTTTTTCAAATTAAAATATTTTTACATTCTATAAAATCAAATCTTAATCAATATTTGAAAAAGATCGGATAAAGATTTTCTACAATACCAACGTTTTTTTTTCTAAAAAACGACAAATTCCTCAGGACGTATTTATGTATTGACTAAAGATAAAACAAAGAAAAAAAGTAAGTAAAACGATCATCATTTACAGTAAATTTGTTTTGAATATGATAAATATCCTTTGTAAACAAGGAAAGTATAGGATATGTCACTGTGCATTGATGCGAATAGATGATGCACATGATTTTATTGTTCTATTACACAAAGAAAGGTAAATCTATTTTTCTCTTGATAATTATCTGTTGTTCTTATAAATACTTTGAATATGTATTTTACTAATATAAATATGCGTTGAGATAGATTTTAACAAAACAAATGGCGACAAATAATAATATTGAACGATTGAAAGGTACTTGGGATTATGTATGTTATTTATTTATTTATTTATCTATTTAAAATAATAAATGATTTAATATTTTAGATTAATGAAGAAAATTTTGATGAACTATTGAAAGAACTTGGAGTTAATCAAGAGATACGTACAATAGCTAAAACTTTTAAACCTCGTGTTACAATTAATGAAAAAGATGGAAAATGGTCATTAAAATCAGAAAATACTTTTAAAACAACAACAGTTCAATTTACCCCTGGAATTGAATTTGAAGATGTATCACCTGATGGACATCAAATAACCGTTTGACTAGTTTTTAATCATCGTATTCACATTTTAGAATTTCTTTTTTTTAGATGATTATTCAATTTGAAAATGGAAAATGGATTCAAAGAGTACGTTACAAAAATGGAAAAGAAATGTTTGTAGAACGATGGATCAATGATCAAGATCAGTTAGAAGTCGTAAGTTTTTATTTAGTGAAACAATAAAACATATATATTCTTTTATTAGAGTATGAAATGTGGAAATGTTAAAGGAACTCAATTATACAAACGTGTTGTTTAATTTTCAATAAGAAACATTTTTTCTATTATTTCCAAAAATGAATATCTATAGAAATAATATTCTTCTAATAGAATTGCTTACCTTTTGTCGACGTCTTATTTTTAGCTTATTTTTTTTGTAATAGTTCTTTATGTTTAAAAGTTGTCTAATCATTGAATACATATTCTGGACGCAGCAATAAATCTTTGTTAAAAAAACTTCGACATTCGAGAAAGTCTTGCATTTTGTTTAGAAACCTGAAATTATGCCTTCAGTATACCAATATTCGCTTGTTTTCTACACTATAAAGATGAAATTTTTTCGTTCATTCTGTTGATCGCTTCGTGTATATAAGTTCTCTCTTTGTTTGAAAAATATATATTATTGCAAAGGTATATGCAAGATACAACGGTGAAAGAAAACAAGACAATACACATGAAAATCTTCAAGAACAAGGATCCTACGATTTCACTGTTGTTGGATCGAGACCAGGTGGGGACACTGTTGCCACGTGTTTAAGAGTAGTTTGTATAGGCTGTCGGAAAAGAACGAGTACCTTTCAGGCATTTATTAAGTATTATTTTTTGAAAATATTTGTCAAGTGATGATCAAGTATCCATGGAAGTTTGCAAGTAAACAAGTACTCATTCACAAGTACATTCACACATTCACTGGGGGGGGGGGGGGGGGGGGCGGGGCCTGGAAAGGATAAAAAAAAAACAGGAACAAACCCCAGGGCGGTAACCCAATGGCNGGGGGGGGGAGGGAGGCTCAGGAAAGGATAAATCAAAAAGCAGTCAAAATCCACTTTCGCTTACTCCATTCGCATGACTCCACCTAAAAACTTAATGTCTCTTGTCTACTAAAGATTGTCGTCACGAGATTAGGCTTCAAAATTGACAAAAGATTGCAGTCACAATTTTTAGATGAGCACGCCCTTACTTCTATAAATATTTGTCACAAAAAGAGATTTTTTTGAGATTGTTCCTCGTATTTCGAGATAGTTATGAGTAAGTCATTAAAACTCCTCATGTTTTTCGCTGTCTCTTTGAAAGCTTAAAAACGAAGATAAAAAGTAAATATTCGTAATTCAATATAAGAAACTACTGTATTGGCAAGGAGCAATAACAAACTCACGTCGACATGTAGGTTTTCGGCTCTGCTACTTTCATCGCAACACGTCTGCAGTCGACTAAAACATCTCCATTCCTATGTTTCTTTATTCCAATAACTAATTGTTACTTACAGATAAAAATTACAGGTTCATAGAGCAGTCAAGCATATACGCTATTTTGAATCAAAAATGACTTGGTCTATAAGACTAAGTTACAAGTCAAGTCAGAAAAAGACTTGACTTGCCCATCGCTGATATGCCGTATGCTACAAGGTCAAACCGAATTCGTCATTTTTGGCTTATTCTATCAAGTACTTTTGCGAAACAGTTTCAATAATTGAAAACCATTTGCAAAGAAAGTAATATTCAGATATGATTACGAAGGCGATGAATACTTTGATAGTTCAGTCCGGTACAGTTATGTACCGGTATAGATATGCCATATGGTATAATTCAACTTAAACCTGCTATGTCTATAACGGATGAGCACGATGCTAAAATTAAAAAACGTAAGGCAGCTAAACATTAAAAAATATCAACTACTTTTTAATTTTCTTAATAGTGCTGAAAAAGTTAAAAAGAACCCTTTAATGATCTACAAGAATTAGAGTGTAAACACAAATACCACTAAACAGAAATAATCGCATATTGAATGAATCTCTATGCTACTGTTACTATAAGCAAAAGTAATTTACTATAATGTGTAGCAATATCATCGGCTAATTTTTCTGATGCCATATATATTGGCAACATTGGAAACCAGCCCAGTGCTATCAGAAATATTGAGTTATCGACAATACGAAGATTTTTAATATTTCTCACTCGTCCTTTTGAGTCTACAACAGTCATTTTGTCACTAGACAAACCCATCTTTGACGAACAGCATGCATGATTCATGCAGAGTTGGGCAAAATACTCGAAGTACTCGTACTCGAGTACCGTTTTGGTCGTACTCGTACTCGAAGTAGTCAGTACTCGTGTATGTACTCGATGATGTAATATATTGGACATTTCAGATGAAATGCACTTTGTGTAAAAAGTTGTTATGTTGTTCTGTACTTCGGAAATGAGGAAAATTTTATATATCTACGATTCTTGTTTGTGTAATACACAAGTCTTTCTTGCCGTCTGTTAGAGAACATTCTTACAAGAAAGATTATACTCCTTGCATATGTACATGCGTTGTGTGCGTGTTATATGTATGGCTTTCTTTCTCGTTCTTCTTTCTGGCAAAGAATGTGTGTCTACTAACTTTTCTAAAATGTAATAAAGTTTTACTTCGATTCCATTTACTTGAAGGTTGATAATACAATAAATTTAAAAAAATATTTTAACATTTCGCTTTGTCAATATTTCGTTCTGATCTATATATCACATAATTATTAAAGAACTATAGAACGTTTTTTCCTACAAATTATTTTTACAAATTGGTAGTCATGCCTCATTCAATGATATCCGCGTATTCCAAAAAATGATGCTTGTACTTATACTCGTATTCCAAAAATCGGTACTCGTACTCGTACTCGACTCGTACTCGAAGGCTCCATACTCTTACTCGACTCGTACTCGAGAAATCCCATACTTGCCCATCTCTGAGCATGATGTCCATAAACATTTTTTCGTATGTGATCTTCAAGACCTGCTGTCGATGTTACATTTGAACCCGATAATACTTCTTCTTCAATATAACTGGATAAGGGCTTACGATTTAACAGCTTTCGTATATATCGAAGATTTTGTACTATTCGACTAAGATCATCATCTTGTTCATTAAATAGTTGAAATTGTATTGTGTTTGAAATGGGTCTTTCGATTTTATTTCAACTGTGCCTATATTGTTTTTACTATGCGTTTCTTCACTATTTACTGTGAAATAATTTGGTGTGGCAGATGTTAAATTCTCAAAAAATCCTTGACGAAAACCGATAAGCGACATATTCACGAAAGGTATCTTTACCCACAAGTACTAGTGTCTGTCGGCACGACTCGGATGTTGTTAATGTATCACCAGAAAACGAAGTGGTGCGGCGCTCATAGATACCATCAATTTAAGATGTTCAGTTGAAAAGAAAGCAGAGTACGTTTTTCTAAGATCTATCCGTAAGGCTGATGTGTATGTGCTCACTGAAGGACGATGCAGTGAAAAATGAAGCCTAATTCCGGTTAGCCACTGGTACAGAGTACGACGAAGGGACATCAGAAACTTAAAAAAGAATTTGAAAAATAATCGTTTTAAGGTTATTACAATTGCATCAAATATTTTATTAAAGCTTTTGCCCAACTTACAAAATGTTGTACTGTTGAGAATATTACATAGGTGACAATTATTTTCCAAAAATATCTTTTAGATAGTTAAGTTTGTTCTTTTGTCAGAATTCAGTAGTATACGATTATCGATCGAAGATCTAAGATCTATTATTATGTTACATAGTCCGTAAACGTTGTATAAAAGAGCATTTAAACAATTTCCGATAGAATGGATGAATAACTAAAGCGCTTTACTTATCCTAGTGGAACTTCTTGATGCAAGAAGCTACAAGAAAGCAAGGAAAAAACAAAAAACTGGGACACTTCTTGCTTTCTTGGCTCAAGATCTTGTGCCAAGAAATGTATGAAAACACTTC